AGAAGCTGTGTGCCAAATACCGATACCCAGGAATAGAAGACAAGTGCGAGAATTCTTGGGGGCAGCAGGCTTCTGTAGGATATGGATCCCCAGCTACGCGATACTGGCAAAACCTCTGTATGCAGCTATCAAAGGTACAGAGCATGACCCCTTCTTATGGACTCAAGAACAGCAAACGGCATTCGAAGATGTGAAGAGGGCTTTGATGAGTGCCCCAGCATTAGGTCTACCTGACCACACACGGCCATTCTACCTGTATGTACATGAGCAAAGAAGAATGGCTGTGGGAGTATTGACACAGCACTTGGGATCATGGCAAAGACCTGTTGCCTACATGTCTAAGCAACTGGATGCAGTGGCCAGCGGACTTCCACCTTGTCTAAGAGCTGTAGCTGCAGCCGCCCTGCTAGTAGCTGAAGCCGATAAACACACTCTGGGTCAAGAACTTTATGTACGAGTTCCACATGCAGTACAGACGTTGTTGGATTACAAAGGAAATCATTGGTTTAGTAACAGCCGTATGACCAAGTATCAAGCAATGTTGTGTGAAAACCCAAGAGTGCATTTAGAGACTGTAAATACCTTAAATCCAGCCACCCTTTTGCCACAACCTACTGAAAGTCAACATGATTGTTTGGAAGTAATGGATGAAGTATTTTCAAGTAGACCAGATCTTCGTGATTTTCCCATCCAGAACCCTGATGTTCAATATTACACCGACGGCAGTAGCTATGTAAAAGAAGGGATCCGCTATGCAGGATATGCAGTAACAACGATAGACAAGGTGATAGAAGCTCGGCCACTGGCAAAAGGAACATCAGCACAAAAGGCAGAATTGATAGCACTGACACGAGCGTTACAATTGGCTGAAGGTTTAAGAGTGAACATTTACACGGACTCCAAGTATGCGTTTTTAACCACTCATGCCCACGGAGCTTTGTATAAAGAAAGAGGACTATTGAATTCAGAAGGCAAAGAAATCAAATACGCAGCTGAGATCCTACAACTATTGGAAGCAGGGTGGGAGCCGAAAGAAGTCGGTATTATACATTGTCGGGCGCATCTGAGAGGAGATGGTGATGTAACCAAAGGGAATCGGATGGCAGATAGTGCAGCTAAGCGTGCTGCTGAATCAAGAAGACAGGAATATGTGGGGCATATAGCTGCTCTTATACCAACTCCACTGTCTCAATGGACTCCAATTTATACAGCTCAAGAAGAGGAGTGGTTAAGGACTGAACCTGGAAAGCATTTGGAGAACAAATGGTATCAGTTAGAAGATGGAAGAATAGTTATTCCAGCATCACTAGCGGTAGAAATTGTCCAAAACTATCATAACGGGACACATTCTGGGAGAGACAGTACAGAAGAATCTCTCAGAAAACATTTCTACATACCAAGATTGTCCAACTTGACTCAGGCCATTGTACGTAGATGTGTAACGTGTGCTAAAAATAATGCAAGACAAGGACCAGTAAAGCCACCAGGAGTCCAGTTTATGGGGGGACTTCCCATGTCCGATTTACAAATTGACTATACAGTGATGCCTAAATCGGGTGGACATCGCTACCTGCTGGTAGTGGTGTGCACCTATTCAGGCTGGGTAGAAGCATGTCCTACTCGTACAGAGAAAGCAGGAGAAGTCGTGAGATTCCTGCTACGAGAAATAATACCCCGATATGGACTACCCTGCTCTATAGGATCGGACAATGGTCCAGCTTTTGTTCATCAGTGCCTACAACAACTGACTCATATGCTTGGTATAAAGTGGAGGCTTCATACGGCATATAGACCCCAGAGTTCTGGTAAGGTAGAGAGAATGAATAGAACTATTAAGAATCAGTTGGCTAAAATGTGTCAGGAAACCCAACTTAAGTGGAACGTTCTCTTGCCCATAGCTCTATTGCGAATCCGTAGTACACCTACCAGAAGGATGGGCCTCTCTCCTTTTGAAATCATGTACGGGCGACCACCTCCCGTGCTTGGTAACTTAAGGGGGGATTTGAGTCAGTTGGGAGAAGGAATTACCCGGCAGCAGGTTGTGGAGTTGGGTAAGACTATGGAGGAGGTACAGAAATGGGTACAAGATAGATTACCTGTGAATATTTATCCCCCAATTCATAGTTACCACCCAGGCGACCAAGTGTGGATTAAAGAGTGGAATAATGTGCCGTTAGGGCCCAAGTGGAGAGGTCCTTATGTTGTTCTTCTGTCTACCCCTACAGCGATAAAGTAGCCGAAGTGGCTCCGTGGATACATCACTCCAGGGTTAAACCAGCAGCAGCCGATTCCTGGCAAGTTACAGCAAATCCAGAGAATCCCTGCAAAATCCGGTTAAAACGCACGACTCAGTCGGAGTGACGAGGAACCTTGTGGATCACAAATTTTATTGTTTCAGAGACTTGGTAAGTGAGTGAGAAGGCCATAATAAAGCCTGTCCACTCACCAACGAGTGTATAAGTCAGGGAAAGTCTTGAGGGGACCCCTGTGAAGACGAGCAGAACTCCATTCCCTGCAGCCCTTACATCCTGGAAGCTGAGGTGCCTTCGCACGGACGAAGACTGAGGATGACGACGAAAGATGTATTTTAATAATGTTTATTTATGTGTATTTTTATATTCAGGAAGGTAGAGGTACCGACACTCCTAGCTGTGAGGTATGCATTAAGACTACAAGAACAGGTAACCATATATCCCAGACCCTAATTTGGCATTCGCAATATGAGTGTAAAGGAGATGTATCAAGATGTAGATACTTAAATATAGAATATAGTGTGTGTCATTTAGGAGTAGGAGAACCTAAGTGCTTCAGTCCTGAGTATCAACCCCGTACAATTTGGTTGACTCTCAGAAATGGAGATCCTCAGGGGAACCCTAATTAATAAGACGGTATTAGAATCCGTATATTCTTCAGGTGCTCTGCTATTTGATGCGTGTAAAGCAATATCAAGTGGTAGAAAGCCGTGGAATGTATGTGGGGATCTTAGATGGGAGAGGACGTATGGGTCTAACGATAAATATATTTGTCCCAGTAGTAAAAATAGATATGTAAGTCCAAGATGTCCAAATAGAGATTATAACTTCTGCCCATATTGGTCTTGTGTGGGGTGGGCGACTTGGGGACAGACAGCAGACAAGGACATGATTGTGACTAAGTTGCCTACTAATCCATATTGTAAGTCTATGGAATGCAATCCAATCCATATACTTATAAATAACCCTGACAAGTTCTTAGATAAATATGGTAATTTATTTGGGTTTCAAATATATGGGACGGGTTTAGACCCTGGGACAATATTGTTTATAGGGATAGAGACTGATACGGTAACCTCCCAAACTCATCAAGTATACCATTCCTTTTATGAAGAGATGAGCATAGATAATAAGATCCCCCATAATGCTAAAAACTTGTTTATTGATTTAGCCGAGAGTATTGCCGGTAGTCTTAATGTTACCAACTGCTATGTGTGTGGAGGTACTAACATGGGAGACCAATGGCCTTGGGAAGCAAAGGAGGTAATGTCCGGTTCTAAGGCAGTTGACCAATTAATATCTATACAAGCCGACTATCATATGAGTGTTAGAGGTAAATCTGAGTGGAGATTGAAGACCTCCATCATAGGTTATGTTTGCATAGCGAGGAAAGGAATGATGTATAATACTTCTGTAGGAGAATTAACTTGTCTAGGGCAAAAAGCTTATGATGATGATACAAAGAATACAACTTGGTGGTCGGCTTCAAATGTCTCAGAACCATCTAACCCGTTTGCAAGATATGCCAATTTAAAGGACGTATGGTTTGATCTATCCATCACATCTAACTGGAGAGCCCCAGCGAATTTGTACTGGATCTGTGGTAAGAAGGCCTATTCGGAGTTACCACAGGACTGGGAAGGGGCATGTGTGTTGGGTATGTTGAAACCATCCTTCTTCTTGTTGCCTATTGAAACAGGTGAGACTTTAGGTGTTAAAGTGTATGATGTGAATCATAGGAAGAAAAGGGGACCCATAGAGATAGGTGCCTGGGAAGATAATGAATGGCCTCCCCAGCGTATTATAGATTATTATGGGCCAGCCACGTGGGCAGAGGATGGTACCTTTGGTTATAGAACCCCTATTTATATGCTCAACCGCATTATAAGGTTACAGGCGGTGGTTGAGATCATTACTAACGAGACATCACAAGCGCTCAATCTTCTAGCGAAGCATAATACCAGGATGAGGACAGCAGTCTACCAAAATAGATTAGCCTTGGATTATCTTTTGGCAGTAGAGGGAGGTGTATGTGGGAAGTTTAACCTGAGCAATTGCTGTCTTCAAATAGATGACGAAGGGCAAGCAATAGCTGAGCTTACTAGCCATATGGTTAAACTAGCGCATGTGCCTACTCAGGTATGGAAAGGGTACAATCCAAGTAGTTGGTTTGGTAGCTGGTATGAGTGGTTTGGAGGGCTTAAGGCAGTGGTAGGTGGAGTCCTACTGATTTTAATGTTGTGTCTACTCCTGCCGTGTCTTATACCCTTAGTAGTTAGGTCTGTGCAAAGCCTGATAGAAAATATAGCAGAGAGGAAGGCTGCTGCACAGATAATGGCAATTTATAAATATAAGGCTCTAGATCAGGGAGAACCAATGCAGGAAGACGAGTGTTGAAGATTCACATCATAGGATAAGTCTGGTCTGGTTCAAAGGTAACTTGTGGTGTATGCAAACCAAGGTTAAGTGATGCCTCAAGTAATTGTAAAATATCAAGAGGCATCAAAGGGGGGAATGTGGTGGAATCTCGGTAAAAATAAATTTAGTAGGCCGAGATTACCACGTGGCATGTGTACGTGCATATGCTGACGTATCGATCAGTTGGTTGCACGAGGCAAGATACGATCAGTAGTGTACGGAGCATGTGCAAGAATACAGGATGTAGTATTCCCCTCCTCCATTGTGCTGGACAAGCCATGCGGTCAAGCAGGAAGTTAATTCTTATTTGTAATGATTGGTCAAGAGAATGTGCGGGTGGAGCTTAATATGGGAGGAGTTATGTGCCTATATAGGAAGCCTGCACTATTGTTCAGGGCTCAGAACTTGCTGTATTTTTGGTGACATTAGTCCCTCTGAGTCCCGATCGGTGATCCAATAAAGAATCTCTTCCTTCCTGAAGAAACCTGTGTCCATCCCTCTGTGCTTTGCTTCCGTCAGTTTCTCCGGTATCACCATAACCACCCTAGTGTGCTTTAGTGGTTATGGTGCCAGCAAGGTATGCAGTCAAACCATTTATAAACAGTTTGTCAGCTTCCAAGGAAGTGGGAAACTTCTCCACAGATCTTCCATCCAGCTCCCCTGAACAAAGACCTCAATGCAGTGGTTATAATGTTTGGAGTGTTCCTTTGACTATACGGAATACAATGACATTCTAGAGGATTATTTGTTTCCTTTTATTTCTGCTTGGGAAAGACTCAAAATCAGTATGACAATTCCACTGTACATAAAAATGAAGTCCTCCCATCAATCTTTCCTGCCTCTGATGGATCTTAATCTTGTGTTCACTTAACCCAGGGGTTCCCAACAAAGTCCTCAAGAACCCCCTACCAGTCCAGGATATAGCGATTACCCTGTTGTGTCTAAAGTGTTTGTTTTTAAAGACAACTGGGTGAGCCCTAAATCCTGGACCGTTAGGGGGGCACTTGAGGACTGGGTTTGGAACCACTGACTTAACCCAATGTTTCCCATCTTGTTAGCTCATTGAGCAGGGCTTTAGGTGCAAATTAATTGCCGTTATATTTGCTCAAGTGTTGAGTAATATGTTAGCACTACCTATATAATAATAAAGGAACATTTTCACAAGATCTGTGGACGAATTTCTCAGACCTTCCTCATACCCTCATATTAATCTCATCTCATTTTGAAAATAGAGAGAGCCAAGTCTAATCATTCAACATAATACTCTCAAGCTCAGTAGAATGAAAGCCCTGCAGCAATATTCCATGATGGGAGATTTTGAACAGAGCATTTGTAAACAATCGCTATGTATGCATGTATGTAAAGAGGGCCTGCCTGCTTGTTGATAATTAGGTTAGATTCACCAATCAGGGGCAATTCAGAAATGTTTTTTTCTTATTTCTCATAAAATCTTCCCAGAAGTGGTTGATTGGATATATAGATTAGCCCCCAACACACAATGAGTATCATCCTAACATACTGTTAACGTAGGAAAATCTCTCATTTTAAATGTGTAAATATTTGCAGGTAATATAGACTGATATGTTCTTTATACATTTGTACTGCATTTAAAGAACATTTGCTGTTACTTATATTATAAGCGTAAGGTCCCTTTAAATGATATGCAGAAGTTCATATTATACCAGTGGGGTTACAATACTATCTGGTGGGTGACATACCTTAGGGTGCTAACCCCCTTTTTTTTTATTAAATAAAGTGCAGATTGCAATAGAAAGTGGTACTTGTATAAATTAAATGAACACTCCCTACAACAAAACAACTTTATCTGAATGAAGTTGTTTTGGTGCCAAGAGGACCCTCGAAGCACTCAACTTCAAGGGTTAAAGAACCCCAAAGTTGCCTCCAGTGCTGTTCTCCACTGGCTTGAATTTTCACTAAGGATGACGCCTGGCACCAAAACAACTCCATTTAGACTAGCCATTCAAATGGCAGGCAATTGCAAAGAGCACCTACCTTGCAAAGAATTTTCATTCAGTTGCATTGAAAAATCTAGAAAGTTCTGCGGCTTATAGATATACAGCAGTTAAAAAATGTGTAAGTAATTGAAGGGTATATCTAAAAACAGTGATTTTTTTTTTTTTTTAATCAGTGTTACTATAACCCCTTAAGGACCAAACTTCTGGAATAAAAGGGAATCATGACATGTCACGTGTCCTTAAAGGGTTAAAACTGGTTGCTCTGGGGTTATGACCACACCGTACAGGATTGGCTCAGCACTAGAAATCTCTACTGGCAGGATCTGGTAATACTGTAGTACGATAGGTAATTTCAGACACCTTCAAGAAAACGTAAGATACAACTTGCTTAATTTTCCAACAAGAATGTATTTTATATAAAATATATTTTTTTTAAATGGGTTTATTCACTAATCTCCCCATTGTAGCAAACTGCAATCCAAGCAAAGCGGTGGCTATAGCGGAGGGGATGAATATATCCATATCAGCTAATGCTTAATTTGCCAGATTTGCAATTCTGAATTTAGTGAATAATATACTCACCACTGGGAGTAACAGGCAAACATGGGTTAACAAGTACGTCTGCTTTAATTCCAGATATTTCCCCCCCAACCCCCCTGTAATTACTTCACCAAGTATAGACTCAGGATTACGATGGTAACGTTTATTACTCATTAACTTAAATAGCGCTCACATTGTTTGCTTTACATTGGTAAACAAATGGTACCAGGGTCTCTAATCATGAGCTGGAATTAGACCATAATTCACATCTCCATTTGGACAGAGAAATAGCACTGCATGCTTCAATAATGAGGTAGAATGCAAACAACCATCGATTATCCTGTAAAAATGGGCAAAAAGCAGGAATTGCCCTAAATTGGACAAAGATCCACACTGGGGAGGGTTTTACATTGCTAGAATATTGATGAATGGAAAAGCAGACTTCATACCCCTGTAAAAGTAAATGCAAAAACATCATACAGAATTCACAGATATCTAAAATGTGATGGAAGATGAAAGCCAAATGGATATACTCATCTGGCCATTATGAAATCCCAGACATTGTTTACAAATTTGTTCTTAAGAATTGCCTTGTGCACATCCCAATTATAGTTCAATCCTTCAATGCATACACTAGAAACCTATTCTCAGTTTAACCTTTCTATTTTACCATGATCTTTTCTACTTCAAATGCTTTCAAAAATCAGTTTTACTTGTTTCACTAAAAGGCTATTCCAGGTGTCTCCTATTTTAATTTATCTTCTATGGCCCCCTGCTATGTCCACACAACGTGTATTCCAGGTTTTAACTACCTTAACAGAACACTATAGTCACCTAAATTACTTTAGCTAAATAAAGCAGTTTTAGTGTATAGATCATTCCCCTGCAATTTCACTGCTCAATTCACAGTCATTTAGGAGTTAAATCACTTTGTTTCGGTTTATGCAGCCCTAGCCACACCTCCCCTGGCTATGATTGACAGAGCCTGCATGAAAAAAAAACTGGTTTCACTTTCAAACAGATGTAATTTACCTTAAATAATTGTATCTCAATCTCTAAATTGAACTTTTAATCACATACAGGAGGCTCTTGCAGGGTCTAGCAAGCTATTAACATAGCAGGGGATAAGAAAATCTTAATTAAACAGAACTTGCAATAAAGAAAGCCTAAATAGGGCTCTCTTTACAGGAAGAAACATAGAATGTGACGGCAGATAAGAACCATTCGGCCCATCTAGTCTGCCCAATTTTCTAATTAGTCCCTGGCCTTATCTTATAGTTAGGATAGCCTTATGCCTATCCCACGCATGCTTAAACTCCTTTACTGTGTTAGAAGTCCAAGTGTTTAGGGTTCATAAACAAAGGGATTTAACTCCTAAATGGCAGTGAATTGAGCAGTGAGGCTGCATGAGGCATGATCTATACACCAAAACTGCTTCATTAAGCTAAAGTTGTTCAGGTGACTATAGTGTCCCTTTAATTCCTACACAGCCATCATTACTGTTTGCATTATATAGACTACACATGTTTTGTTAGGTTCAGAGCAATACTATTGGGGTATTAATAATCTATTCCCTTTCCCTTTCAGAGTAAATTTACGCCACATGCGCTGATTCGGAGTTCCAAAATGAATGAAAATGGAGAAACCTTCCCCCCAATATTTTCAAAAAAATCTTTCAAGGCGTATTAACCGGAAAGGTTTTGTTTTGTAAAGTAGCAGCAGAATTCACCTCTGGCCAATAAACCTGTCACATGACATTTATCAGGTGGGCACACTATTGGCAGAATGGTTATTATAGCATGTGATAATTTAGGACAAGATGTATTCTTGTGTAACTAAAGAGCCAGACAGGCTTGGATAGACACCTTTTATGAGGAGCTGAGGAAAGGTATAGCCATATAGGTTATAAAAATACTCAAAACCTGATCCAACGGAGCCTCGGCTCATGGTTTTAATAAGCCTCACAATAACCTTCAAGATCTCATAAAACAGACTGCAAGGAAGTACAAACACGGTCAAATAAGTGAACAGAGCACACTTAAAATTGGCTAGAAATTGTATGATTCTTGATGAAGACTGACTGCCATGACTTAGTCTGTGTTAAAACAATTTAAATGGAGAGGTATACAGGGAGTGCACTCGCTGTAGCACATTACTAAACATTAAAAATCATTGGTGCAGTGACTGTCAGATCCACCAGGACAGACATTTAATATGAACTTCAAACAAAGACATACACATTATCAAAAATACAGACAGGCAAAATGATCTGTACAAAATAAAACCGAACAGGATTGTAAAATGTAAAACTATAATTTTCCAAGAAATAAAAAAAAGGGGAGGAAAAATAATGAAAATAAAAAGATTTCCTGTGACAGATCAGGACTTCAAAAAAGGGAACGTCCTTTATGTAACTCAGGACCTCCTCTGTGTTGCCAGAATTTCCACAATATCGGCCCGAATCACATGGCAACATAAGTGACACCATTAAGTAGGAATCAGAAGCCGTCAGCAGATGTTACTCTGGTCCAAGCTGGTGATCATACTGGAATCGGTTTGTTGAGTTCTGAGGAAAGCAGTTGTTAAAGCTGGAGTAACCACATAATCTCTCCGAATATTGCTTTCACCCATCATTGGCAGCCACAAGTTGCCCCATTGCCTCCCGAATGTACACTGATTGAATGTCCTTTGTTTTCAGGCAGTAGTCACAAGCCCAGACAGCAGAGGACTCTCTAGTGAGCAAGCTGTAGGCACTTTCTGTCATTCCTGTGCACTCCCTGTGGAACCATTTCTGGCAGGATGCCTCACATAAGATAGCATCTTGGTCATCGTTCACCTCATTCCTGCAAGCTCCACAAGGGTAGACAAGTCCCGGAGGTGGTTGGTGCCCAGAATTTCCTGTTGGTTTGCTGGGAGGTGGGATACTATTTACTTCTGGGGTGCTGCTGTTTCCTCGTGTCGCACTATTTGGAGTGAAATTTGGCTGATTCCCATTAACAGCAGATGGAGAACCTACATGTTGGTCTTGGCTGAAGGCATTGGTGGGAGGATTGAGATTCTTACTGTGATCTTCTACACCTGGAGGAAAACTCTGATCGGCTCCGGCGAAAGGACTAGTGTTTGGGGGAAGGCTAGGTCTTTGCATCGTGGGCTGTACAAAGGGGTGGCCAGGGGAACCAAACCTGTGAGGAAATGGAGGACCACCAGGAGAGTTCAACACTGGCCCTGGCCCCATGTCCCCACGAGGTGGCTGGCCCATTGTAGGAGACATAATAGGCCCAAACCCACCCACTGGTCCTTGCATCATCTGCCCAGCAGGTGGGCTGAAACTCTGCCCCATTGGTTGGTTGAAAGGCTGGGAAGAAAAGTTCATATTTCCAGGCTGCCCGTAGTTTGGGTTCTGGGGCATGCCAAATCCAGGACCCATCTGATTTGGAGGAAAAGGTGGAGGTTGCCTCCTCATGGGCTGTGGACCTCCAGGGTAACCTGGAGGTACCTGATGTGGCATTCCACCCTGCATACGGAAATTTCCAAATGGCACAGGGTTATTATGGAAGGGAGAGGAGGCAGCGTTGACCTTGGGTGCCCCAAAGTCATCTTCAAAAGGATTAGAAGCCACCAAATGGTCTACCATAGGAGTGGGTGGAGGGGCAAATTCAGAAAGATGCGAATAAGCAGGACCCTAGAAAGAAGACAAATAAAAACGTGTAAATACATTTAAAAAAAAAAAAAAAAAAAGTGTAAATACATTTTTTAAAAAAAGACAAATTTCATCATTCAATGAAAATAGATATAAAACAAAAAAACAAAAAAAAAACAAGTAACAAAATGTAAAGTCATTTGACAAGCCCAATTATATACCCTTTTTCTATAACACAAATGTCATATAGAATCATTTGCAGGCAAATATTAAAACAGCTGCTTCCTATTTAGAATCACAGACTTCAATCTTGACTTTTTTCACATTCAAAATAGTCATTTTACAAACATTATTTAATATATCCATTGTGCTTTTCTCTACCATTAGTGCCAGATGCCAAGCATCTATAACTCTCTATGGATTAACACGTTTTGGTATTTCCCAATGACCAGCTTCCATGTTCGTTCTCTGCTCCAAAATGTATTTATTTATATATGTCCTCCACTCATTTAAAGGGACACTCCCCTGCCCAAATACAAAATAAATAAAAATCTCAGCTTACTATATATACCCCCTAATGAATACATGCATACATTTAATTATGCATTATATCATTAGGAGTACATCTAAAAACAGCTAGCAAAATCTGCAGATCTCTTGTCTGCTGCCTTTGAAAGCACTCATTTTCTAACCCCGCCCAGACTTGCTGTGGCTGTCCAATCACAGACTTCTGAATGCAACTCAATGAGAAGTCTCTGCAAGGCAGGTGCTCAAGCAATTGCTGCTTCTTGACTTTAGCTCCACTGAGCTAAACAACCAGGAAGTAACAGGACTAGTTGCCTGATCGACTGCCTGGGGGTGTAACCAAGTTCATTTATAAAAGTGTAAATGTCTATTGAAATCTGCACCTATTTCAAAATGAAAAAAAACTCTTCACACAGCTTTTCAGAAAGCTAAAGTGCTTTAGGGGTCTGGAGTGTCCCTTTAGGGTTTATATAGTACACAATTCAGGCAAATCTGTTTTAGTGTATTTTTTGTGTAAGTCAAAATAATATTCTAGGAATGTAGAAGATGAATTACTGGCAAAATGTAAAAAGAGTAATGGAAACAATTACAGAAGTGCTTATAACTTATCTAAGAGAATATATGTTAAAGGGGCTCTAAAAATACCATTATTATTATTATTACTAAAAGAACAAAACACACACACATGGTTCTCCTAGTCCCTGCAGGCCACCTTCCTGTCTGCTTCTTAATTAAGGCAGTGGTGGACTTCTGTATAAGTGTTTCAAATGTTGGGGGTCAATGATAGACTGATGTAATTTAAACAGCTACGTGTCAGGCCCTGAGAGTGCCACACTGTTTGAAAATGATGGGGAGTGGGTGAGATAGCGCCACAAATAACTACAAAAGATCTCTAATAGGTTTGGTGCGTCAAGTAGGGATCGACCGATTATCGGTCTGGCTGTTATTATCGGCCGATTTTCTGCAATATCGGTATCAGCCAGTAAAGATACCGGTATTGCCAATAATGCAGACCAGGGCCGGCAACAGGATCCTGGGGGCCCAGCACATGCTTACTTACCTTTCCAGCAGCTCCCTTGAGCTTCCCTGTCTAACTCTCGCGAGTCCCACGGCCATCAGAGCGTTGCCATGGGTTACGGCACACAGGCCGTGAGAGTTAGACAGGGGAGCTGCTGGGAAGTTAAGTGTGTTCTGGGCACCCTCTGCACAGTCCATGCTACCAGACCACCAGGGAATGCCATATCCCCCCTCCCTGGCCAGGTAAGAAGCAGGGAGGAGGGACTAAAATATAATTACAAATTGTTTTTTTTTTTTATTTATGTTAATTTATAATGGAGACAGGACTACATGTGGGCAACTCTGGATGTCACTTCGTTATACACCTGCATTGATCACTCAAAAGGACTTAGGGCGGTACAACGAGTTTTGGAACTAGACTCGGACATTTCCCCCCTTTTTGGCCAATTTATTCTGGAGAGTATAGAATTCATTCTAACACACAAGTTTTTAATTTTTAACAGAGCATTTTATTTACAAGTACAGAGGAGCGCCATGGGCACCAAGCTACGCCAACATTTTTATGGACAATTGGGAGACATTGAATGTTTGGAATAATAACCCATTTAGCGCGGACTTGGTGCTCTGGCGGAGATATATAGATGACATTCTTATTATTTGGAAGGGCCCTATTGACAGACTCAAATAATTTTTTATCTTTATTAATAATAACGATCAGTCTTTGCGCTTCACAACAGAAATTGACTCTCACGTTATTAATTTTTGGGATTTGACGATTTACATAGAAGATTCTGTTATTAAGACTAAGACATTTTTTTAAGCCGACCGACTAACTCCTTTATCCATACAAAAAGTGCCCATCATTGTAACTGGTTACGTGGAGTTCCCCATAGCCAGTTCACAAGATTAAAAAGGAATTGTACGGATACGGATTGTTTTTTAGAACAATCTGCGATTCTAAAAATGAAGTTTATTGAAAAAGGTTATGCTAATTCCTTTTTAAACCAGGAAATTAATAAGTGTAAGGAGTTAAGTAGGAACCATTTTTTAATGGACAAAGTTATGAGTAAGAACAAAGACGATGCTTTTTCAGTTCCATCCTTCATTACCCAATATAATGCCCATGCTCCACAATTTAAAAAAAGTTCTAAAAAAACATTGGCCTTCCGTATTGGAGGATGAATATTTAAGTAATCAAATTTCATCGCTTCCGAAAAATTCAAAAAAAGCAGAGACCTTAAAAATGTCTTAACCCCAAGTACATTTAGAACTAACACCAATAAAGATGTTACCCTTAAAGGATTCCACAAATGTGGGAAATGCAAGGCATGTAGATTTTTACCCAAAAAAACAGTAGAGTTTATAAGTAGAAAGACGGGGTCAAATTTTAAGATCCAAGGGTATATAAATTGTAATAGTACCAATATAGTTTATTTATTAACATGCGGGTGCGGCATGCAATATGTCGGGAGGACCAGCAGAACTCTGAAGGTACGGTTTTTGGAGCACTGCAATAATATAAGGAAAAACTCACAAACAGACTAGGTTCCGGTCCACTGTAATAACTGCCCCGATTTTAATTTGAAAACTTTATGTACTGGTATAGAGACGTCACCCTCAACAACGAAGTTCGAGATAACGAAACGCGTAGGGCGGAGAGACCCCTTCAGCACATGAACTTTTATTGGATTTGTTTTTATTCATTTATCGGTTTTATTTCTTGGCTATCCCTTTTGTCTGCTGACCGGAAAGAACATCCTGAAGCTCACAGTTCTGGCAGAGACTTTATTGTGATATTCTGATTTTTACCAGAAAGTGCAATCTAAATAAATGACATACAAATTATTTTATTGGTGCACTATGTTTGTGTGTCTCTCTGTTTACCTCCTCTTAAGGACGAAAGAGAAGAGGACTGAGCTCCTTCCATCTTTAATGACCTATATGCCTGAAGTCTTTGACTATCTTGTGAGTGCAACCATACTCTTTTCTTGGTGACATTAATTCTACACCATTTGCTATTCCTCTCTGTTTCCATTTATAGACTGTATTTTTGTACAACTGGTTACTATGCCATGGCAACATGACTAAGCTAACCTAAACACAGATGATACAGAGGATGGTTCCAACCTGATGAAACTGGTCAATCACCGGTCCCTTTACTCTGCGCTGTGATCCTTCCCAACCCCCTGTTCTCCATACCTGAGTGCTTGACTTGCGACGTTTCTTGTCAGGGCTCTTCATTTGCATGCCTGTAAAAGCAGAAATATGGATAAATAAATACAGGCATCACACTGCCACAAAGGAGTTTTTGTCCTCTCTTCCATCAGAACCTCTGCTCCACAAACTGCACTTCCCTCCCCTCGCCCCCAGAACCTTTAACTCTTCTAAGCTCTACTACTCTCATTCCACTAACCTTCAGCGCCTCTACTCCAATCACTGCCCAATCCCATCATCTACTCCGCTTACTCTCAGAATCCCCATTCCAAAACCCTCTTCCCAGCAAGCCTCCTCCTCTCCAAAACCCTCCCCAAGCACATTTAGCCCTCTGACTCCCCTTGCCCCCCAGCGCATCATCCCCCACGAACTCCCCTTGCCCCCCAACTCCCCTCCCCCCAGCACATCTGCCCCTAACTCCCCTCCCCCCTGCTCTGCTCCCTCCCCCCATCCCCACATCTGCCCCCTACTCCCCTCCCCAGCACTCCCTCCCCAGCACATCTGCCCCCTCTCCCTCCCCAGCACATCTGCCCCTAACTCCCTCCCCAGCACATCTGCCCCCTAACTCCCCTCCCCCCAGCACATCTGCCCCTCTATTATCCCCATTCAGTCTCCGCTATTTATCCTGCGCTCACACATTGTTTACTCTCAGTTTTCCTTTATCCGGCTCTCTCTTACCGGCTTTGGCTCTGCGGCCCGGGATAGTTAGTCCTTCCAGCTTTTCCTGATCAGCGGCCATCAGAGAGAGAGATAGAGGGGCTCAGCGGCCGAGCATGTCCCGGGAGCCTCCCCTGTCTCCGGCCTGGGAGCCCCGGTCCCCGCTCTCACCCCGCTATCCCGGGTCAGGCTCGGTCCCCCGCTATCCCGGGTCAGGCTCGGTCCCCCCGCTATCCCGGGTCAGGCTCGGTCCCCCCTCGGTCCCCTATCCCGGGTCAGGCTCCCGCTATCCCGGGTCAGGCTCGGTCCCCCGCTATCCCGGGTCAGGCTCGGTCCCCCCGCTATCCCGGGTCAGGCTCGGTCCCCCCGCTATCCCGGGTCAGGCTCGGTCCCCCGCTATCCCGGGTCAGGCTCGGTCCCCCCGCTATCCCGGGTCAGGCTCGGTCCCCCGCTATCCCGGGTCAGGCTCGGTCCCCCGCTATCCCGGGTCAGGCTCGGTTCCCGCTCCGCCGCTCCAGGCCTCTCACAAAAACCGGAAACTCGGAGAGCGCACCGGAAACCGGCTGGGCGAATCCAACTAGAAACCCGCGGGGGGGAGCGCACTTCAGCCCGGAGCTAGGGAAGCCAAGCACGGCAAAGCTGTATAGCAAGATCATCACTCCGCGATTTATTAACGCTACTGCTCTTACATCAGGCGATAATAATCTAATAAAACTGTCAAATTCCACGAATGGACCCCATGAGTAAAATGGTACAGCTCACACCCAGGCACGCTCTATTACGAAGTGGACTACACCATCGCAAGAATAGGGGGGGAGGGTCAATACAAATATACCGTATGCAAAATTCTTGAAATTTACATAAATTTGGAAATGCAGGTCATAGCACGAACGGTATGTATTTGGTTATCTCGTGTATAAGCTGGGTGGCTCAAGCGTTCCCTAACACACCCCTCTTCAGCAGACAATTGTGCGCTACCGAATCCATTGCGCGCAGAGCATTCTGGGAAATGCTATATAAAGCACTGGCTGGCCGTGAGGTGACCAGTGCTCAGTCAGGGTGGCTGAGGGAGCTGTCATTGTGTATAATGACTGACCTTCTATTAATTTACAGTGGGGACTGAGCAGTGCCTTGAGAGTCCTCAGATCCAGGGCAGCAGGAAACAAAATGAGAGTGGGAAATAGTATATTAATTAGTTATGGATTGTAGCGAAAAAAGATTAATTGCACTCACAGATTGTGGAGCCGTTAATTAGCTCCAATTAATGCGCCTGGACAGCATACACCCCGCCTCAAATATATGAGATTTAGTTGTTTAAAACAACACTAAAACTAAAAATTCAGATGACTATAATACGACAAAAACTAAACTGGCCCCACACACCCGGCACGGATCAATGACCGCTAGACTCGCTACTCATCACCTCTATAACCCTCATTGACCAACCGCAAACACCCGCTACAGGGCTACCACACCAATGACAAATACATGCTAGCTCCAACTGCACTCTAAACTCCACGTCATATGGTTACCGTATGTGGTCAACAACCCTGACAAACAAAAATTAAAAAAAAAAACAAGTGCTACAAGTCTGATATGTATAGAATAACTGCACGAATAACGCCCGCTTTAACTACTCTCAAACCGCACTTCCAAATATGCAATGCTTCTCGTGAACATACAAATGTTATTCTACGCTTGATGACCTGTTTGCACCTGCTGTTGTGGTGGCGCAATCATGACTGTCTACCGTATGCACTAATAAAATAAAGAATTTTTTTTTTAAATGGCATTTTAGTCAAAACACTATGACTAAAGCTAAATTGAAATTTAGTTTTAGTCATAGTCCGTCAAAATTAATACTGCACAGAGTAGCTGTGGAAGGGGCAAAAGAGACAGACCAGAGCTTGGGAGAGAGACACCTAGAGAGGCTGGGAGAACATAAAAAGACACAGAGGGGCTAGTGAAGAGGTTATTTAAACCCATAAGATTTTAGTTATGTTGACTAAAATCTACTAGAGATTCAATCAACTAAAACAATTCAGATGGAAAAAATACAACTAAAATTAAAATGTTTTTTAGTCAAAAGGCGAGGACTAAAACTAAATTGAAATTTGCCACCGAAATGAACAATGCTATGGATATTAACTTTGTATCTTGGTCTGGGTATATAAAAAGTAAGCAAGCAATAACACTTAAGTGTAGTGTTTTGAGTATATTAAAATGAAACAAATATATGCAAAGTGCACACACATATTATGGAGCTTTCTGGTGGCTCCTATTAAATAGCGTGGAGTGGAATGATCACCACTCTTGGATATATGTAGGTCTCCTACTCTTGGATGTATGTAGATAAAATGGAGAAATAAAGCGTAATGGTCACAGTATATAAAATTCTTATTTTAACAAGAAATGTAACCCCTGACTTAGCTCAAAAAATGGTTTTGCTCAATCCAAAAGCCATAGGTAGTATATTCCCCACCAAGTAAAATAGTGTCCAGGCATCAGGATAACAACAGGAAACAAAAGTACACCAATTGTATAATAAAATTTAGGAAAAAGTGTTTTGTGCTTTAAGGCGCTTACAGTAATATAAAGTGCTTAAAGGACCACTATAGGCACCCAGACCACTTCAGCTTAATGAAGTGGTCTGGGTGCCAGGTCTATCTAGGATTAACCCTTTCTGCTGTAAACATAGCAGTTTCAGAGAAACTTCTATGTTTACCTATGGGTTAATCCAGCCTCTAGTGGCGGTCTCATTGACAGCCGCTAGGGGCGCTTCCGCGCTTCTCATTGTGATTTTCACAGTGAGAAGACGCCAGCGTCCATAGGAAAGCATTGATAATGCGCATTCAGCCGATGATGGCGAAAAGGAGGAGGAGAGTTCCCCACGCCGAGGGAGCCCGGCGGGGGAAAACAGGTAAGATTTAACACCTTCCACCCACTAGAGCCTGGCGGGAGGGGGGCCCTAGAGACCATATAGTGCCAGGAAACCGAGTATGTTTTCCTGGCACTATAGTGGTCCTTTAATATGAGGTAAAGCTGCTTCCACACATTAGTAGGAACTCTCTATCCTATTTTACTTAGCTAGGAACAGACACTATTCTACAAACTAATGATAAATAGTGACAAGTGTGTGGCGCTAAATAAATTATTATTATGATATTTATATAGCGCCATCAAATTCTGCAGTGCTTTACAATGGGTGGACGAACAGACATGTAGTTGTAACCAGACAAGTTGGACACACAGGAACAGAGGGGTCGAGGGCCCAGCTCAATGAGCTTACATGCTAGAGTGAGTGGGGTAAAATGACACAAAAAAGGGAAGGATAGTATTAGACTAGTGACAGTTGCAGAAGAGGAATCAGTCTGGAGCTTTTGACAATTTAGTTGATACGCTTTTATGAAGAAGTGGGTTTTTAACAATCTTTTGAAGGCGTGGAGACTGGGTGAGCATCTAACGGAGGAGGGAAGCGAGTTCCACAGGAACGGTGCAGCCCTCGAGAAATCTTGAAACGAGCATCAGAGGTGGGAGTACGGAAAGAAGATAGTCGCCATCAAATTCTGCAGTGCTTTACAATGGGTGGACGAACAGACATGTAGTTGTAACCAGACAAGTTGGACACACAGGAACAGAGGGGTCGAGGGCCCAGCTCAATGAGCTTACATGCTAGAGTGAGTGGGGTAAAATGACACAAAAAAGGGAAGGATAGTATTAGACTAGTGACAGTTGCAGAAGAGGAATCAGTCTGGAGCTTTTGACAATTTAGTTGATACGCTTTTATGAAGAAGTGGGTTTTTAACAATTTTTTGAAGGCGTGGAGACTGGGTGAGCATCTAACGGAGGAGGGAAGCGAGTTCCACAGGAACGGTGCAGCCCTCGAGAAATCTTGAAGACGAGCATCAGAGGTGGGAGTACGGAAAGAAGATAGTCGTAAGTCTTCAGCAGATCGTAAGGGCCTAGACGAGACATACTTGTGTATAAGGGAGGATAGATAGGTGGGAGCAGCATTATGTAGAGATTTGAAAGCAAGAACCAGAATTTTAAATTGAGCTCTATATTTTATAGGAAGCCAATGTAGGGACTGACAGAAGGGTGAGGCATGGTAGGTGCGGGCGGACAGGAAGATGAGCCTCGCCGCCGCATTCATTATGGACTGTAACGGCGCTAGTTGGGAGCACGTAAGACCACTGAGAAGCGGATTACAGTAGTCAAGGCGAGAAAGGACAGTGGAATGGACCAACACCTTAGTCGCATCTGGCGTTAAGTAGGGGCGGATGCGCGCAATGTTTTTGAGATGGAAATGACAGGATTTGGCGATAGATTGAACATGAGGCTTGAAGGAGAGGTCGGAGTCAAAGAGAACACCTAGGCAGCGAGCATGCGTGGTGGAGCTGATGGTAGCACCGTTGACTTGGAGGGAGACAGACACAGGAGTAACAACACTTGAGAAGGAAAGACCAGAATTTCAGTTTTGGTCAAGTTTAGTTTACGGAAGTGGGCAGCCATCCAGTTAGAAATAGCAGAGAGGCAGTCAGATACACTAGTCAAGAGGGACAGGGAGAGATCAGGAGAGGACAGGTAGATTTGCGTATCATCTGCATAGAAATGATATTGGGAGCCAAAGGAGCTGATGAGTTTACCAAGGGAGGCAGTATAGATGGAGAACAGTAGGGGACCAAGGACTGAACCTTGGGGGACACCAACAGAGAGGAGTTGGGGAGAAGAAGCAGAGCCAGAGAAAGAAACACTGAAAAAGCGCTGGGTGGTGTAGGAGGAGCACCAGGAGAGAGCAATATCTTGTAGACAGATATTGCGGAGGATGAGAAGAAGCTGTTGATGATCAACAGTGTCAAAAGCTGCAGACAGGTCAAGGAGAATTAGGATAGAGTAGTGACCACAAGATATTTTAAATTAACACTTAACCCTAAGGGTTAAGGGATGTGGGGTGGTAGAAAATCTCTAATGTGGACAAATTAAAGAAGATATAGCATAGTACAGTTGTGAACAAGTAGTGAGGATAATTATTTATTGGAATCACTCACGTGATTTAGAGCCTATTAAGGACCGGTTCTAATCACATCCGCTGTTGTGTACTTAAGGTGAAACACACCCTATGCTCCCCATTGTAGGAGCGCTCGTGATTGGATGTATCACAAACTCCATTCGCCAATCATCTGCTTCAAGCCATTTAAACTGGAACCAGCAGCATCAACATCAACAATTGAGAAAGCTGAATTTAATCGGCGAAACACGTTTTGGACTCTACACCACCAGTACTATTTTGTATGTGTCACACCCACCTGGAGATTCGTGGAGCTGATAGAACCCAATTGCAGCGGAACAACACTCTCTTACTATCACGACCCTTAGGAGCACCTGGAAGTGGAGACAGGATCCCAAAGGTTCTGTGGTGGCGTGTAAGCCTTTAATGAATAGAAGAATTCCAGGAAGCAGGAGCAGGAAAAGTAAACGAAAATTGCAGTCAGGCAGCAGGCAGAAGTAGTCAATCTGGATTTAGGTCAGGAACCGGGGGGAGCAATTGTCCAAGGAATCAAGGATCAGGAACCAGGAACATAAGCTGGAAATTAGGGCAAT